GGTCTTGGAGACCCCTGATGTCTCCATAAAGAGGACCTGTCACATCTTTTGCTATCACGTAGGGGGGATTTCTTAGCTCCTATGTGATAGCAATAAAGTTAAGTCAATTTAAGTTACGCATTTTTTTTAAAAAGTCCCCACTTATACATACACACATGCGTCGGGTGCGCATACCTGCGAAAACGACGATTGCGCCCATTACACCGCACATGTTACATATCGCCGTGAATGTCGCAGTGAGAGCAATAAGTCTAGGGCCATCAATCACTGATAACACTAAACTGATGAGCTGTAAAAGCTTTTAAAGCGTCGCCTATGGTCAATTTTGGGTATGGTAGTTTTTTGCAATTTCGCGGGTGTGCGCAATTTTTAAGCTTGATATGTTTGGTGTCTATTTACCCGACGTGACCCCGCCTTTTATATTTTACTCAAAAATTGGCTAATACAAAATGTTTCATAACATAATGTAAAAAAAAAAGTTTAAAAAAAAAATTCAGTAATTTTCATAAAATGTAGTAACAAATAAAACCCCCAGTGGTGATTAAATACCACCAAAAGAAATCTCCATCTGTCCCCAAAAAATGGTATAAAATTCATTTCAGTACAGCGTTGCATGACAGAATAAACGTCAGTCAAAGTATCGCAGCGCTGAATACTGAAAAATGGTCTGGCCAGGAAGGGGGTCTAAACACCTGGTCTTCAAGTGGTTAAAGTTTGATTGTTGAAATGCAATATTTGTCTAAGTTGTTGGGGTCCAGTTGCTGACTAGAGTTATACTCCACATTTCCTCTCCCTGGAGCAGACCAATACAGGGTAATCCTTTTCTATTTGTGTATTCCTTACATTTTTTACAACTGATTTTCCGTTTGAGTTGATGGTATATATGCACTGGCCTCCCATTTCTTTTTTTTATCGAATACGTTTTTTTATTGAAAATGTTTTCAATACAAAAAAGTGTAATGAGCAATGAAAACAAGGAGATACAATGCAATGACTATGTCAGGTATTTCCGTACAGTGTAAACCTGATAGGTAAACATCAGAGTGATAATACAATAAGGTCTCAATTAAGAACATCAGTTATTTATGAGATTCATTGCAAGAAATAGTATCTAAATAAGTAGACAATAAACAAAGAAAAAGAGAAAAGGGAAGGAATAGATGAAAGGAGAGCAAGAGGAAAAGGAGGTCCACTCACCCTGGGTCCAGGTTGGGTTAAGGTTCAAACCGGCCTCCCGTTTTAAATATACTTTTAAATATATTGAAAAAAAAATTAATGTCAGTTTGGTTTAACATAGGCAAAAATTTGAGAGACAGTGAGCCTGTGATTGTGTGTGTCTGCACCAACCCTGAGGGTGAAAGTGACTGGTTTTAAATGCTAAAGAAAGAATGTGTCAGGAGAGGTGGCAGACTGTTTGTGTTTTACCACTTTCAGATATGAAGTCGGTACTACTGTACTTGCAGATTTTTTAGGCAAGGCAGAAGGCGGGTGTGTACTTCACATACAACAGCTACAAGGAAGGGGGGCACTGCACATGTGGCGGCTATGGACTGGAAATGAGCGAACATTATCCCTGTGGATGATATGGAGGAGGTATGTTTGAAAATGCTGTATATATGGCTGAAAATGGGAATGTTTGAGAACTGTGTGAAAACACATATGGGGGGAGAGGGGGCATATTATATCTGGTATATAAATTGATGTTTTTGCATGGGGAGGGTTAACGTTCTTATTCAGAGCACCGCAATACAATAATGTTAAAATGTTTAATTTAATGCACTGTACCACAACAAGTGTCAATGTGCCGCTCTATTTGGCAAAGATCATTTTGATTGGCAACCCAACCTTCTATACAGAAGCAGCCAACACCACATATAGTACGTGATGGGGAAAAAAAAGGTCATGTGTATTTTATGATGTTGCAGTGCATAGCAGTCTATTTAAAAAACATGGGCTGCCGAAACGCAAGGCACATAAACACACAAAATAATGTGTGTCAATGAATCGCAACAGACCAGGTAGGTCTGAATGGACCCTAAAAGAACGGTATATATATGTAATGGATGTGGTTAAGTGACTATGATAAAATGCCTATTTCAATATATATACGTTATTGCTCCTGTTCATATTAATTCTCAATCAAAATGGCTGCCTAGTTAGTTGCTCAACTTAGCACCCCTCCCCCCCATGAGAAGTACGCAGTAGAAATAGAAACCAAGATGGCGCCTCCAGGAGAAACAACACCCAAGACGAGACGTCAGAATCCTGGAAGGAGGTTACGCTTTAATGAATCAGTCCAATTATAACCTAGAAAGCTATCGCAAACGCTATGTTTACATATACACTATCAGCTGCCTATATAAAACACAACAATGCGGAACAATAATAAAGAAGTGATTTTACACACATTGGAGTTGGTGTGATTTTCATTTTCTCTCTGTGGGAGTATACTCTATTGAATCAGGCCAGGCGGCAGATATAAGTACGACACTTTTGATCCGATCTAAATTTGTGAGCAGGTCCAAAACATATAAACTTTTTGGAGTTGATTGGCATTATTTTACTAATATTTGTCCTGGCTTGACTCAAATGAATAAAACCAATAACAGCCTTTTGAGAAAGTGATAAAGAATAGCAGTCCTCCTGTTGTGGCCAGTATGAGGGGTTCCTGCTCTTCCTGTTGGATTTATAATATATTTTAAAAAGGAACTCCAGGGAAAAAAAAACTAACAGTGTTATCACAAAGGGTGAAGAGTTTGGAGAAGTGAACAATCTAGGACAACATAGCGGATATGGAAAAATTCTCCAATTCAGAACACTTTCCAGTTCAGCTATGTTGTCCTAGATTGGTCACTTCTCCTGCCGTCTCACCCTTTTGTGAATAACCCTGTCAATTAATCCTTGCAGTGGGGCTACCCTTATCCTGCCTGGCTGCTAGACCAGTCCCACAGCCTCTTCTCTCCCAGGCTCCGGCAGTCTAATCCCCGCTGATATCATCACGTCTAATGCAGGTCCATTCACCTGCATTAGAAGTGAGGACACCAAGAACATACCAAAACCGTATCAGAGGAAGGGAGAAGTGATTACTCACTGCCACAAGTCCGAGGATCAGGTGAGCATATCTTCTTTATTCTGACCCATAGACCAAAATGAGCAGTTAACACTTGCAGCGCGGGGGTAGCCCCACTACAAGGGTAATTTTGCTACTAGCTGAAGTTCCTCTTTAAATGATAGGGAGTGCAGCAAAAGGGAGTGAAACATGTAAAGGTGGATAGGAAAACCCAAAACTCCCAGGTCCCAGGACAGTCGGTAATCATGGCATTGAGATCTTGCTGTTGGTGTATAAGACATGTATGTATGTTGTGCTGCAGCGCACGGCCCTCAGACGGTGCGTCAGTCTGCCACTCACATTTACCACAATGCACCTAACACACAGTACTGAGCGGTGTGTTCGCATGCGCTAAAAGCAACATAACGTGCACCTAGTGTACCGCTATAGTGTGAACAAGCCTGTAATGTATGAATTGCAAAACAGACATTACTGTGTGTCTATCTTGTATAGTCATTAACTCAACAAACGTAGGTGTATTTAAACAGGAAACACTGAATGCTCTGGAATGTGACCACAACACACCAAAGGTGATGAAACGACATGTCATTGGCACCACACTACACCGAAGGTGATTAAACGTCATGTCATCGGTATGTCTCTCCAGACCACCTCTGTCTACAAACTATTACACAATAATCATAACGGACAGAGAACATATACATTGGAAGTTTTATTAACTAAATACAATTGTTTTGTCTGGGAAAACATTTCATATCAAATACAATCAGCTGTAAAATGTTACCAGCATTAATGATAATAATTAGTCAAAATCAAAATGATCAGTTTTATTGTAAACAGAATATTAATCACAAAGTGTCCATTGACTTTCAGATTGTTTTCATTGGTGTGGCTCAATCCTAGACACTGGAACTTGTGGTTAAAGGCATCTCTGGAGCAATTTTTACTATTATTTTACTGCAATACTCACCTCGTCCCTGGCAGTGACCACCACCACCACCCATACCCCCCCACAATCCCCCCGGAGTAAATCGTTTTTGCCACTAGATGTCCTCAGTCTGCAAGGCTGAATGACACCCATCAAGCAAATCCAGACAGGAGGAAAGTGCATTGGCATGTTTCCTCTTCATTGTCCAATCACAGCTCGGTCTAAAGCTGGAAGACTCAACATCAGTTTAGAGCGCAGAGAGCCATCAGAGTGCAGGGCCTGGCTGTGCTGTTTCGCAGGCTTCCCTGAAATACAAGATTGGTCGAACAGAAATGGAAATCCATTGTAAGGTTCCCATATATCCATTTCATGTGTTTATCTTCATGAGTTCAGCCAAAAGTTGTATTAAAAACTCTCAAACCTTTTTCAATAATGAACCCAGATCATAGAACTATATATTGCCCAGCACAGTATTTCTTTAATTGTTTGCCCAAGCACTTGGGCAAACAATTGTTATGTTTCTGAACAGCTCCAACTTTTTCAGCTCTGATTCCCTGAACGTCCTGTCCAGTACAAGATCACAAGGGACAGCACCTCTCCATCTACTAGCTTGGAGAAGGGAGGAGGAGTGGGGAGCAGGTTGCCATGCTGTGCTTGTGGAGACACACACAGAGCTTACTAGCACACACCCTTAGCGCTATAGGACCCTTCAAGGGAAAGGAGCCACTTTAAAACATATCAGGGCCAGTTCTCAGAGGAGCAGCTGATTCTGCAGGAAACAAACTTTTAAACATTAAGGAGCAGCATCCACTGTAAGGGATTTAGTCAGCAGGTTTGAGTTTAATATCACTTTAATTAGCAATCTCAGCTTTGAAGTTTTGTTTCCAGTTAAGAATTAAGAGCAGTAATATTTATATTAAATGAACAATAATTTTAATAAAGTAGTATATATATATATTTATACACAGAAGTATTTGATTGGCCCAGTAATGAGTTTCCTTAAAATGGTAATTGGTAACTGGTATCCTCAGATGAGATTGCAGCTTTTCTGAATCATCTGCTCCATGTGCAAATGCTGACACATCATCAGAAAATAGATGATCACTGTAAGTGAGATAGAACACCATTCCAAATCCACCTTCACTTCCAGCAACAGCTACAAACTGGGGGAAAAAAAAGACCACAATTATAAACTGTAATTGATCAAAGACAAAGTGCAGAGTTATGACTGAATCAGGTTATTTGCAGCAACTATTTGGTTGTTACAAGTAAAAGTTCAACTTTTCTTCAATTCTTAAAAAACTAGACCTTTGTTATATGTAAATTGTGAAAGAATTAGGAGGCTTATTCATAAAACATTCATAAAGTTAGAAAGCACTTTTTTTGCACATAGCTATTTATTCATTCTGCAACCTAAAGCAGAGAAATGAAATCACAGAAAAAAAAATTGGTTGCCACAAAAGTTCAACTTTCCTTTAAAAAAAAAAAAAAACAATTGCCGTCTGTGTCCACTCTAGGTAGATTTAGTCTCTCTTTGTCTTGGAGACCATGGTCATCGAGAATGATTGTGAGAGCAAAATCCAGAATTTTGAGCTGTCACCAGAACAGGAACAGAAGGGAAATCTTTTAATGGAGACAATGTGCTGGGGACAAATATCCGAGAAGGGATTTCTCTAACTTTAGACAGGTTTGCTGTCACTAACTGTCGTGTTTACAGGGTGGGAAGTGACGGGAAATCTTCCAATACAATAGGACACAGATGTTGCTGTGGGCCTTACTGCCACTATGTGCGTCCTCCACCTGACTCCTCCCACAGGCCAGTACACAGCAGGATGAAAAAGAAGCATGGATGGTGATGTGACCCCTATTTTCTCTCGCGGTTTAAAACTTCAGATACATGCCAAAATAAGGGCAGAAAGCAGAGTGATAATACATATGCAATTAGATCCTTACCTTCTCCATGTTCACCCCAGCAGTGAGACCAGCATTACAAAACCCATAAACTGTGTAAACAATATCACTGGGGTAAAAAATGACCACACCTGCCATAAGGAAGCATTGAAGCTGATAGGGGAAGAAAAAGAAAGTAGTATTAGCGATATTGGTTACAAATGTTGAAAAATGTTATTCATTTTCTGAGTACTTGTTACCCAAAAAGATGGATATTAACGTGAACTACAATTAGGAATGAACCATGTACTACAGGACTGGACAAATCCCGGGAGCCAAGTAACCAATGATCCTTAATTACAGCCAACACCTTACTCTTCAGGTTTTCTTTAGTTGTTGTCAAAAGCTGGCTCCTAAAAAATATCCTGCTGGCTTCTGGATTGGACAGACTGGCTCCTAAATTCCATATTCATTTGTCCACCCCCGTTGTATTATGTGTTTCACCTGTATACGTTATCACAATTTTCCTTTTCACAAATGATTTAGACAACTTATGAATATATGAAAAGCCCAACTCCTGCAAGATGTCACAAAAAAACAGTTTAATCCAATATATATATTTGTATTGCTTCTGACCTGAAGAAGAGAGGTTCACTCTCGAAAGCTTGTCTTTTATATATTTTGTTAGTCCAATAAGAAAGGTATCATTGCACACTGCAATACTACGTTTTTGTCTTTTTTGACATATATATATATATATATATATACATATATATATATATATATACACACATATATATATACATACATACATACATATATATATATATATATACACATACATACATATAAATAATAGGGCTGTGGAAATTAAAGATTCATTTCTCGATTAATCGTTAAACTTTTTAATCGATTAAAATTATTTTGATCGGTACTCACCTTTCCGCCAGCTTTCGGGAGTCCCGTCGGTGATCCGGTGACGTCACGGACATTGACGTCACCGGACTCCTCCCCCTTCGCCAAGTGGCTCCGTCGGCTA